CCACAGAAAGTTACTGATGAGACAGATAAGAAGTATGTTGATCGTTTGGAGGATTGGGATAGCGAAAATCATCAGATCATCACTTGGTTTCGTAACACCTCAATTCCTTCCATTCATCTTCAGTTTGGACAGTATGAAACAACTAAGGAAGTGTGGGATTTGCTTGCAGCCAGGTATACCACTTCTGATTTATCCAGTCAATATCAATTGTGGGAAGAGTTACACAATTTGAAACAAGAACGTGGAGAGTCCATTACTAGTTTTTATGCTAAGATGGAGGCTGTTTGGGATCAGCTTGCTCTCTCAGAACCAACCTTCAATGACACTGCTGATATTGGGAAGTACATTGAGTATCGTGATAAAATGAGGTTAATTCAATTTCTTATGGCACTTACTGATGATTTTGAACCATGCAGAGCCTCTTTATTGCATCAATCTCCTTTACCTACCTTGGATAGTGCTCTCTCACAATTATTATTTGATGAAACTCATTTGGGCTTACTTAAGCCTCAACGAGATACTACTGTGGCTACAGCTATCAACAAGTTTCCTTCGAGTAAGAGAGGACAGAAGTATTGCTGGCATTATAACAAGTACGAACATGCTCTATATGAATGCAGTTTGATAGAATGTCATAAATGCAAGCAGAAAGGCCATATTGCGCCTAATTGTACTTCACTACCTCAGAGATCTGATCAGTGGAAGACCCAATCAAAGCCTAATCAGTCTTCCAAGCCTGTGGTTGTTGCAGCTGCTGCCAATGAGGATACCTCAGTCTATCCTTCAATTGGTAATCTAGAAACCCTTCTTAGACAAATGATATCATCTTCCTTTACATCTACTGTCTTGCCTACCATCCCAGGTAAAGTTTCTTGGATTTTTGACTCAGGTTTTTGTAATCATATGACCTCAAACTCTACACTTTTTTCTACATTAACTCCTAACACCACCGCACCTTCTATCCATACTACTGATGGTTCACAAATGCAAGTTAGCCAATATGGTCAAGTTTCTACTTCTACCCTTACCTTACCAAACACTTTCCTGATACCAAAACTTACTTTCAATCTTATTTCTGTGGGACAACTATGTGAACTTGGTCTTGAACTAATATTCTCTACTCATGGTTGTCGTGTGTAGGATCCGCAGACGGGATAGCTTCTTGGGACAGGCCGTAAAGTTGGACTTTGTTTGAGCTCACCTCCTTGCACATCCCTTCTAGTTATGTTTCCCAGTTGTGTGCCATCTCAACATCTTCCTCCTTGCACTTGTGGCATCTTCGTCTTGGTCATGCCTCTATTAGTAAACTTCATCCTTTAATTCAAAATGGGTCTTTAGGTTCTATTAAAGAAGAGTCTTTACATTGTGTCTCATGTCAAGTTGCTAAACAGCCTGCTTTATCTTTTAATAAAAGTGATTCCACTTCACTTGCACCTTTTGATTTAGTACATTCTGACGTATGGGGGCCATCTCCCACTCCTACCATGGGTGGTTCAAAATATTTTGTGTTATTTATTGATGATCATTCTCGCTTCACTTGGCTATATTTGATGAAAAAATGCTCAGAATTACCTCAAATTTATGTTGAGTTTGCTAATATGATCAAGACTCAATTCTCTAAAACTATCAAGGTCTTGAGAACTGATAATGCTCTTGAATATCTCGATTCTAAATTTCAGTCTTTTCTTAAAGAGAAGGGCACAATACAACAAAGATCTTGTCCATATACCTCTCAACAAAATGGGCGAGTTGAGCGAAAACATTGTCATATTTTGGACTTGGTTCGTGCTCTCTTGATTTCCTCTTCATGTCCTGAGCGTTTTTGGGATGAAGCTGCACTTACAGCTGTCTATGTCATAAATCGAGTCCCCTCTATCGTCACACAAAATAAATCTCCCTATGAGTGTCTTTACGGTATTCTTCTTGTCTATGATCTTCTTAAAATTTTTGGTTGTGCTTGTTTTGTTCTTTTACCTTCTCATGAACATCACAAGTTAGAGCCTCGAGCTCGACTTTGTTGTTTTCTGGGGTATGGGATACAACATAAAGGTTATCGTTGTTGGGATCCAATATCACAAAAACTCCGTGTCTCTCGTCATGTTGTTTTTTGGGAACACACTATGTTTGCTTCTCTTTTTGAATTCAAGGTGTCTCCTTCTCATCACCCTCCTATCTTCACTAACCCATCCCTTGAGTTATTTCCTAATGATGATGCAGGGTCTCCTAATGAGCTTTCAAATCAATTAATCTAATTATGTCAATCAATTATAATATGAATATAATCATAGCAATGTGGACATAATCAAGGGAGAATATCCCTACAATGGCTCTTGGAGGATATGGGTGTTTCCCAACCATCTTCTACTGATCTTTATTGTGAAAATCAAAGTGCTTTACAGATTGCTCACAATGATGTTTTTCATGAACGCACAAAACATATTGAGGTTGATTGTCATTTTCTTCGACATCATGTTGCCAAAGGTATTGTCCACCTTGTCTTTATTGGCTCTGCTGATCAACCTACAGATCTCTTCACTAAAGCTCATTTTCTTGGACGCTTCCGCACTCTTCTTTCCAAACTCAAGCTGGTCTCCTCTTCACCACCTTGAGTTTGAAGGGGGATGTTACAGAATATGCTCCCTTGATTATGTCCACATTGCTATGATTATATTCATATTATAATTGATTGACATAATTAGATTAATTGATTTTGTACCATAGAATATTCTCTTGTACAGGCCTATAAATAGGCACTTTGTATATGCAAATGAATCAAGAAAAGTATTTTCTTCATATTTTTCTCTTCCTGGTTATTTCCTCACAGTAATTAAGTGCAGGATAGCTACCTATGGGCTATGGTACAAAGTTTTCCAATAGTGAGGTGACACTTGTCCTATTTTTCATATTCCTTTTTGTTCACATGCAAAGATTAGGTTATTATTTTTCATATGATCATTGAGTTGATGCCAAATGTGATTCTAGAATTCACAATATAGTAACATTTGAACATAAAAGCAAAAACAAAGCTAGGAGAAGAGAGAAACATACAAATGCGAAAAAGGGTGTGGAAAAAAGGGAAAAATTATATTTTACAACTCAATGATCATGGCTTAAACTTTTTAGATTTGAATAAATTAAATCTGGGAACATAAGGAAAGATTATTTCATATCATCCAAATCATTCCTAGCTGAACAAGTAAAAAAAGAAGCAACTACTAATATAGGACACTGAAAAAAAAGGGCAAGACAGGTATCAACTCTAAGTCATAGGATCTACTTGTTAATATATGTTCAAACTACAAGGACCAAATAAGATAATTTAGTGAGAAAACCACGAAGAAGCCGCCATGGAATAATCCGCACCAAGCGCAGCGACGAGTTTCTTTCCGCTAACAGTTGCATTAATGGCAAGATAATTTTTGATTGGTTATTCATTTATGGAAGATAGGTTTTTGTTAACAGTTATAAATAGTAATTTATCCGTACGAAAAAATATTAAACACATTTTTTTTATTTTGAAAATTAAAAATTTGGAAATAATTTTTACTTTTATTCACATTACCTTTAAAAAATAAAAATAATTAAAAATAAAAAGATAAAAGATAAAGTTAAAGTAAAAAATAGATAAAAGACAACGTTAAAGTAAAAAATATTATTTTTACTAAAATATGAAAAAAGATTAATATTTTATAATAAATTTTAAATAAAAAATATTTATTATTTTAAAATAAAGAGAGTATCAATCCTATCAAACTTTGGTAGACTATAAAATAAAAATTATTAAATAAGAAATAGCTCTTATGGTTTTGCCTACCATTTAATACTTGTTCTATCTCAAAATAATTTTCTCTTTTTTAATTTTTTCTAAATTAAAGATTTAAGAATGTTAATGACTTAAATAATTAACTAATAAAATTCTGACTTTAAATTGTATAATATGTGAGTACAATAAGTTATGGGGTGGGAGAAAATTATCTCTTATTATATAATTCGAGATTCAAGAAAAAAATTTGAGAATAAATTATTTGTTTACTTATATTACCTTTAAAAAAAAT